CATAACATTTTCCAAGGCAAAAGATATAAATTTTCTTACATAAAACGAGTATTTTATTAAGTTGTACAATATTTTCAACAAAAAAAGATACAAATGTTTCTTTATAAATATCAGTAAAGAGTTTAATATTAGTAATCTGTCAGTTCTTCAAAAACAATTTTGATCAACTAAAATAGAAATAGAAGAAGTACAAACACCTTATGAAAATTCAATCAACATTTCGGCTGATCTTACAACATCTAAGATATTTATTTTGATATTTTGGTATATTTTTTTATTGTTTAAATATATGATCTATAGTTTTGAACTAATTTTGTCATTTATAATTTATAATAAATTGTTTTATCTGCATCTCTCCTATATGATATGTTTGATCTGCACTTGTCCTGCTTAATCTGCATGAACCGCTTGATCTGCAACGCTTGATCTGCTTTTACCATTCGAAGCGATAACATATCTTAAAATTCGGACAACTTCCCAGGGAAATAGCCATCTGTCCCTTGAGTTTGTGATGGTTTGACCTAGCAGTATAGCTACACAAGAAAAAAAGATCGATCAAGAAAATTTTAATTGCATAAAATTTTTCTCCTTAGTTGATTTAACAAAATATCTTTCAAATCGCTTAATAATATATTCTTTTTAACTTTATGGATCCTATAGGAAAGTAGACGATATCAAATACTTATTATAAATTTATCAAAAAAAAAAAGAAAGAAAGAAAAATCTAGTATCAATGTACAAAATAAGCCTCTTACAAATGTACAATGCTTCTCTCTAAAATGTAAAAAAAAAATGTTCATAAAAATTATTCCGCTCAAAAAAAGAATGAGATAAATATATAGAAACAGTGCTTCAGTGCAACATTATCAAAAGGAACCATCAAAGGGAATCTCGAGATGTAATCTAATACAACACTGTTTCATGTTGATCTCAAGAACACGTATGCAAATACAGACTACGAATTTTTTTCATTAAAGAATCTCAAGAAGTAATCTATTATTCATGGATATCGAACGTCGGGTATAATCTCAAGATGTAATCTAATACAACTCTGTTTCATGTTGATCTCAAGATACATAGTACAAATCTTTTTCATAAAGGAATCTCAAGAAGTGATCTATGTTTCATGGATATCGAACGTTGGGTATAATCACAAGATGCTATCTAATACAACTATGTTTCATGTTGATCTCAAGAACACGTAAGCAAATACTGAGTACAAATCTTTTTCATAAAGGAATCTAAATTAGTAATCTATGTTTCATGGATATCGAACGTTGGGTATATATTTATCCAAAGGTGATAAAGAAACTTATGATGATTGCCTTGGGAATTCCATAGATTGTAGCTATTCGGGGCTCTCTCCGGGCCATAACGACGACGGAGTGGTGCTGCGAGATCCGCTATGGATGAACAAGAAGGAAGAGCTGGTTTATACTAATTACATGTCAATGCATTGAGGCATATCTTTAAAATTCGAATAATCTCCAAAACATCAAGCCATTTGTCTATAGATTGGGTGATATGTGACCAAGCAATGCACAAGAGAAAAGATTATTAGTTCATGAACTCACTATCCATTTCAAAAATCAAAACTATTTTCATTAGCTGATTCAACCGAAAATATATATTATCTATTCAACCTTGTTTATAGTATACTTAAAAAGCTTTTGGACCAAACAAACAACGAAAGTGAATAGACTGTGTGATTGCCAACAACACGACTTTGCCATGCAATCAATTCTGGAGCACCTTCAGTCTACCAATCCCCACAATATAATGTCAATTAAATTTGAGTATGAGATTTAAAGATTAGGATCTAAATTTTGTAAAAATGATAGGTGCTTGAAAAGATAAATGTTACATGTGGTCAATATATTTAGGTATATTGTAAATATACAGTCCAGTGTGGTCTCTTGTGGTTTGAAACATGAAATTTCGCTAGCCCCAGATGTCGATAGTAAATCTTAAAATTCTAATAACTTCCCAGGGTGATAGCCATATGTCGGTTGATTCAGTGATGGTTTGACCCAATACAGCTACACAAGAAAAGAAAACTATTAGTCCAAAAACTCACCATCTATTTATATTTCAAAGATCATAAAAATTAATTAAAAACTATTCTCTTTATCTAATTTAACAAAAATACATACATCTTTCAAGCCATATTAATAGTATATTCTTTTTAACTTAGTGGATACTATACATTGCAAATAAAAAATAAAAAACTTATTACAAATTTATCAAAAATCAATAAAGAAAGAAAAATCTAGTATCAATGTACAAATGAAGCCTCTTTAAAAAAGTATAATTCTTCTCACTAAAGTGTCCCATTTTTATCAACAAATGTAAGTTTGATTCTATTAACTATAATTAATATTTATCTTTTGGGACGTGAAGCAAAAATTAGTATATTTCCCGATAAACTATACCAAATCTTTTATCTTTTTGAATCCATTTCTATTTCTATTTTTATTTGGACGGATAGCGGGAAATGAACCCGCGTTTTCTCCTTGGCAAAGAGAAATTATACCATTTGACTATATCCGCATTTTTTTGCCCTTGTGATAATAAATTTATGGATAATATTTGTTCAACGCTATACGAGATACACTCTTTTGGTTTGGGGTCATTTCATATAACAAACTTCATATCCGAATAGGATAAAAGTGGTAAAAAGAAATTGGAAATAAGGCATCTCAAATCAACGGATTCATGATAAAATTCTTTTATTTATTAAATTTTTTAGTGGATAAGAGGATTAAATGGTGTATATTGTTAATAGCTTGGAAGATTAAAAACATGACTTCTACAATTATGCATATGCAACAAAAATGAAATTTATGGGTTTTGGATTCAGTTGACTTGGAACAATATGAGAATTTCCTTGAAGAGGACTCGAACCTCCATGATTTTTAGCCCGAGATTTTGAGGCTCGCGTGTCTACCATTTCACCACCAAGACATCTTGAAAGTGAATCGTATTCCATAACTATGTTACTTATCTAGTACGGTGTATTGAATATATGACAAAGGTGAAGTGTTGAAGTATTTCTATTGATCGGTCATGTCATATTGGCCCGATTCGGATATTTATTTGCTTAGATTTGAATTATCCGGATGATGCCTTATGTATATATTAATATTATATCAAAAAGATGGACAATCAAAACTTATTTCTCGATTCAATAGAAGTTCAACCAATGAGGTGAATAGGGTCCCAAATAACGACAGATATGTAAAAAAAGGTCAGATATCGCATATTCCTAATCCTAAATGGAATGTACCGACATAGGGATCAAATCAAATCGCACCATCTGTACAATAAATAAATACCTCTTATTCGAAGTGCCTCGTTATTGTCATCCAATTCTGTGCTTTAGTATAATTACCAGGAGTAAGCTGGGAAATGCACCAGGTTCCGTAGCTGATATCTTGTGTATTTACATGTTTTTTAAGCCTCATTTTAGCTTTCATCTTTAGACTCTAGATGCATTTATAGTACATTTAGGTTTCATTGCATCACTTTTGCATTATTCAGGTGTTGGAGATTTTCTTTGGTGTTTCTGAAGACATGGAGTTGATTTGGAGCCAAGATGGAGGATTTACACTCACTTCATGTCACAACAAGTAATATAGCGACATTACCATAGCGACTTACTCAAGTCGCTATGAGACCCATCGGAGCCTGGTAGCGACCCCCGTAGCGACATGGTGTTGTCGCTACGGATTTCCAAGACCGAAGTTTATTTTTCCAAGTGCCATAGCAATATCACCGTAGCGACATCAGCAAGTCGCTACAAGCTCTGAAGTCTGAAGCTCAATTTCGGCAAAGTGTCATAGCGACCACGTCGTAGCGACTTGACTGTGTCGCTACGAGCACCCTCGTGTCATGATAGCGACATGCATAGCGACTAGTCGATGTCGCTACAGATTCTCAAGGACGAAGCCCAAATTCGTTGAAGTGTCGTAGCGACATCACCATAGCGACATCACCTCGTCGCTACAAGCCCTGAAGACGCGAGCAAGCCATAGCGACATGGGTGTAGCGGGATACGCATGTCGCTATTAATCAT